ATATATATATATATATATCTTCATTCTATTTTTTGCTACCATTTGACTTATTGTTTTCTATCATTCGAATGAATTTATCAATCGATTATCAATTTTATATCATTTGGCGCTTGAGTAATTTTAAAGTTTACCGAATGAAACTTAAAAGAAAAACATACGTATTTTTGACGTAAAATTGTTTTTTTTTCAGCTACATAGGTATTGGCCAATAATATACTGTGTGTCTTTGTAATAAAAATGAAAATTAAATGTGTTTGGTAAAGTGTACATATACATTAATGTTTTTTCTTCTTCATTCTGTTTTGTTTTTTTTGTTATCATTAGGCGTATTGCTTTCTATAATTCGACAGTATTATTCTATTGCTTGAATCAATTTATCAATTGATGGTTTATTTCTTATATCATTTGACGTTTGAGTAAATTTAAAGTTTGCCCAATGAAACTTCAAATGTAAACATTCGTATTTTTTGACGTAAAATTGATGTATCTCAGCTAAATGAATGTTGACCAATAATATAAGTGTCTTAGTAATAAAAAAGAAAAGAATGTCTGAATTGAAACAAATATAAATTGTTGCTTTAGAGCCATCAAAATAACTCTTCTGTTTGTACTTCTATTTGCACGTAAAATAAACTTTTATAAAACAATCCAAAAATTTCACAAAATGCATCAATCATTGTGTTCTGAGCAGTGATGGCTCAGGGGATAGAGCGTTCTCCTTCCAACGAAGCGAAACAGGTTCCAATCCTAGCTTTGTCTGGGTGATTTAAATTCCGCCCCCATCGAGCACCAACGATTGCGCTAACGTAAAACATCCTCAGTGGTAGACGGATCATGGGTTAAAGTCCTCTTGTCGTCAAGTTAACCATGAGTGAGTTTTCGTGTTTTCCCTCTTCATGTAACGCAAATGTGGATAGTTCCATTAAAAAGACCTCCACGAAGAAAAAATTCTCCAAATACTTTGTCCAGGAGTTCCTTTGGCTTCTGGATTGGGTTCAAAATGCAACAAGTCTAAGGAGTTAAACATTGGCAGTCGTAAGCCAAAGATTGGGTCAGCTGTTCAACGACCATTGTCAAATAAAATAAAATAAAATATTGTATTCTATTTTAATACCATAAAACCAACGATATACAACGATACACAATTTGAAATGATACGGACAAAATCCATAAAATTTAATACACAATTTTTTTTTCTTCTATTTTACTTATGTTAAAAAGATTCTTCGATTACATCACGAATTTGATTTTTTAAATTTTTAAAAAAAAATCACTTTATTGATTTAAAATAATCTGTCAATTTTAATATCACTTAGTATTTATTTAATATAGTAATTAAATTTTAATAAAATATGTAACACAACTTTTAAAATACTAAACACAAGCTGATTTTGTTTTTGATTTCCTTTATGATTTTGATTACTAAGCTGATAAGAAATTTAACAATATTAATACTTTAATAATTCGTTTCTTTTATTGTTTTTGATTCTTATCATGTTTTGCATTTGATTTTATGTGCATAAATAGTCAACTTAACGTGCATATGTAAATAAATTCTGAAAGTGAATTCTGCTTTTCACTCATGCCAATTACACTGCTTATTGCTGTCCATCGAAACATGTTGTTATTCTATGCATTAATTTCGGATCTATCACCTTATTTTAAAGATAAAATGCAATTTTTTTTCTTGATTCTGAAAGAGAAAAGCTTCAAATATATTAATTGACTTTTCTGAACTCTTTCTAACACACTTCTTTATTTAGTGAAAGTGGAATTGTATATTTAGTTCTTTATTTAGTGAAAGTGAAAGTGAAAGTGAATTTATTTAGTGAAAGTGAAGTTCTTTATTTAGTGAAAGTGATTTATCAATTTTTTTCTTCTGAAACATAAAATAGAATCAAAAGGATGTGAACTCTTGACTTTTACTTAAATAGATGATCTCAGTATGGATTTCTTACTTAAAGAGGAGTCTATGACATAAGGAATCACTCCATTTGGCCACCTCCACTCTTTTCCCGGAATAGCATTTCGATCAGAATCCTAGAAATAAGATAGATCTAAATAATTTTTAGTCAAATAAACCATTACACTGCAAAAAATTCCAAACTGTTGATTAACTTTTGTATTCCTTTTTTTTTGGTATAAAATAATCAATTACAAGTGCTTAACAACACAGCAGTTAAGATAATATTGATCAAACTTGAAACGTTTTCTCGGTAATCTGAAAATCTTGTGTTGACAAATACACGGATTCCTCAAAGATAGTTTCCCTCGTACTAAGATTGTAATTATAATTTTTTCAAAAAACAAAATACTATCCTGATAAGAACTAAACTTTTAACAATTATCGAAATGCTACATGAATGTTTAGTTCTTAATTTTTCACAGTGCCCTTTCTGTTGAAGGAACTGCAGAGAAATATGGAAATTTTTCATTCCGGGCAATTTGAAAATCAATACAATCACCGATCATACTATTGAAAAAGGTATTAGAAGTTTTTTTTTTAATTTACAGTGTTTGAAACACACAAAAAAAACAACAACAAAAAAACAGTTGGCTTAATGGATACACACTAGATAGTTAGTTTTTTTTCCATCCCGTATGTCATACCTGTTATTTATTATAGTGTCATGACTCGTTATAACTTGTTTTTATAATACTAATTATGTTAACTAGAAATTGAAAGCACTGTCTGAATTTGGATAAGAGTTCCTCCATGCTAATGGATGGATGCCTCATTGGATTTCTTTTTCTTCTCATCTTGTCATAGTTTCTCGGGATCCCTGACGTTTTCAGAGTCGGAAACGCCCACGCATGACAGTCTATGACATATGCAGATTCACTTATTGACGGTTTACTTTTAAATATTCATGTGCCCTACAATTTGTGCAACTGCCAGGTTTTTACAGCTTTGAAACCGTTAGTTATTGAGAATTGAAAAAAAGACCTTTGCCTCAGTGACTAGTTTCGACCCATTAGCTATCTGGATCTACATAGTTAAAGAATGTCCTATAAAAGTACCCAATTTTTGTCTTAAATAATACTGAAATAGTTAACTATAAAATAATGAAATGAACGATAAGTTTAAAATAAGAGATGAAAAATATACAAACACAATTTTCAAATTTATTTTAAAAAGTATCCAGCTGATTAAATTAGAAATGTTGCCTTATATGAACCTTATAAGAGCGAATCCTAAAATCCAGGGGAACGCAACGTCGTTGAAAAGTAAACGAAATTATGAACTAAAAAAAGTCCTATAGCCCTAGATATCTGAGACAAGCAAAAATGGCTATTTACAAACCTAAATTAACTTTGAATTTTGTTGCTCTTGGTTTTCGGTCTTTGTGATTCAAATTTAAAGCTAGACATGAATTTTCTACGACATTATTCATTAGCCATACACTATTTATTTAATCCACCAATAAGTAATTGTATCAAATATGTTTGGTTTTTCTCATTTTATTATATGTTTCGTTTATATCACATGTTTGGTTTTCTGCAGAAAATTGCTCAGTTTTTTGTAGAAAAGCCAGAGCATGGATTTTACTTTTAGGTTTATTTTCACTTCCATTATACATTCAATGTTTCAAATTATGTTTAATTAATGCTCCTTGTTGAAGAAATTGTAAGCAAGAGTAATAAATTTATATTTACAAAAAATATCGATCACTGTATCTTTCATTTATTAGTCTGTTTTTGTAACACATAGGGACAGTAAATTAATAATGAAACTTCTAAAATGAAGAACTTATTATGAATTCTTTGTAAACGCTTAGTCACTATCACAATTCAGATTGCAGTATTAATGTTTCTGACGGATCATGATGCGTATTTCAATTTTAAGGACTTATATAATAACTCTTGAAAAAATAATATAAATTATGTTACTTTTTAACCTGAAATACGCTTCCCTTTACAGTGGTAAAAGATCAAAAAATAGCCTAAGCCATCTTTAGAATTACTCCTCAATGCTAAGTTTTGGCTAATGTCCTCGGACATTCCTTTACTTAGTCGTTTTAGCAAACTTCCTAGTTTCGGAAACAAGAAAAATCCCGCGAGTACAAAGAACGGAGAACATGGTGGATAAGTCATTTCGACTATCACTCAAACTAAATAAAAACAGGCAAAGGAAAGAAGGTTTTTTGATGCCAAAAAATCTTCCATCGGCGTCAGAACACAGATGAACATATGAACATTTTCCGAAAGAAGAATTTAGAAGTTTTTTTCTTTAACTTCTGCAAACAAATACAAAAATGTATTACAGCAACTGGTGTTTACTTCAAAACATGATAAATAGTTATGTTAGTAATATAATGTTTTCTAGAGTTTAAAAAATAATCTATAGTTTTAGAAATTTAATAGTTGAGCCTTATATCTTACACTCAAAAAAAATTCTGACGCATTCCTATTGACATAATACTTACAAAGTCCCAACCAACAATGTCCCCTTGAAATAAACCAGGATTTTCTAAAGCCAGTCTAGCTTCTAAAATGAAATTGTACATTATTTTAGTTATTCATTAAAAATTCATGTAGTTATTTGATAATAAAAACATTTGATCAGAGAAGCAAATCTGGAAAAAAATTAATTTCGAATAAAATCCGAAAAAATAAAAAAGACATAATAAAACACTGAATAAATAAAGCACTGGATAAATTAACAATATAATAAAAATAAAATAAATACACAATTCCAGCTACGGAAGAAGAAACGTGTGCTCAACGCCTGGTAAGCTATAAAACTAGATTGAAAATATCAAAGCATGTTTTCTTGTTCGAGGAAAATGAGAGAAGGTGAGAGGCGATAATAAGAAACGTTTCAGTTGACAAACAATGGAATTCAATGTCGTCAATAGTGATTTGTCACATTTTGGTAACTTTTTTTTTATCCTTAAGTACTAATATGTGACTCCTAATAGGCATAGTTATTTTTTTACTTTTGGCAAGAATTCTAAAAAGTGCAGTGCACAATCATCCTCATTCTAAAGATCTGAAGATTGTATCTTCACGTTCAAGAACTCATTCTTAATGGTTTGGAGGAGGGACATCAAATATGCTAATTAATTAGTGCAGACGATATGTTAAGTTATGAAATCAGGAGCAAAAACGTACTTTCTCTGAATAAAAGTACCTTTTTTGAACGAATTCAGATTTCTGACCCACAAAATATAGGGGGCATTCGCAATCTTGGAAATATAGTCCCTAGAGTTTGATCAGGAGAGTGAGTCAAAGCTTGAACTCCTTTCTGTTAATTTCACTTTTTGCGTATTTCACCATGTCTTGAGAACTTCTTAAGCGATTTAAAACAATGTGGCACACAATTATAAAATTCGTTTATCCAGAGATAACTCTATGCAGAAAATAAATTTTAGTATATATTTATAATTTTTTATTATTTTATTTAATAATAGTTCCAAACTTAGGATGGCTCTTCTGACCAAATTATGGGGACCATATTTCCCATATTTTAGCTATCTCCCATATTTTGGAGGTAAGAAACCTGAATCCGTCATAAAAATACATGTTTATTCAGAGAAAGCACATTTTTGTGCCTCATTTCGTAATTTAAAATATCGTCTGCTCTAAATACTTAGCATATTTCAAGACATATCCTCGAGTCATTAGTAATGAGTCATAAAACGTGAAGTTTCGATCATTAAATCAGAAGTTATTTATGGTGGTATATTTTTTTTGGGCTCAATGTACATTAAATGCAACGATTAGAGCATGGTAAATAAAATTCGTTCCGATGATGAGCAATACTCAAACCAATCACCAATCGTACTTTTCTTTATAAAGAGAAAATCGTTTCGATTTTCGATTTTGAATAAGATATACTAAAAACGTATAAAATTTTGATCGTAATGCTAGTTAAAATCAAGACCAAATGACATCAAATGATTGAGACTTAAACTTTACCATAATTAGTTTATTTTAAGTAAATTTTAGAAGAAACTGTTATTTATTTTCTCATACCAAAAAATAATGCATTCATATAAAACATAGCGAAAAATATAAGAATACATAAGAAAAAATTATTGTGAAATTTTCTTACTGTATGGTAAAGACATTTCTGTTAATAAAAAAACATAATTCTGGATAATAAAGCGAAAATATAAGGCATTTGAACCATTCATTTGGTAATTTATCCGTTCATATGGTAACGATTAAAAAAATGGTTTTGTTGTTCTAATTGTTGTTCTTATTACCACACATTTAGAAAAAAATACTCAATGAAAGTTACATCACGGTAAAACACTTACTATAGTTTCAATTTTGCTACTGTAATCTTTATTTCTTATTCTAATATTATTTTCATTGTTTGTCTTTCTGTCTACAGTTGTCTTCTAATCTGCCATTAGAAATTAAAAGCAAACAATACGGTTAAAAATATATTTTACGATGAAATGAATTTTACGGATGATTTTTTCCAAATGTCGGAACTTCATACTGTAATTTGAACCAAAATTCTTAACTGTGTAGCCAAAAATCGTAAATTAAAACAAATTAATTCTCTTATTTTGGCACTACATATAATATACTCCAATTTCAAAATATGCCGGCCAGGTGGCCGAGTGGTTAGCGTGCATGACTGCGATGTCAACGGCTGCGGGTTCGAATCCCGCTCTGGGCATGGATGTTTCTCTCTCTCTCTGTGTTGTCCTCTGGTGTATGAATGTGGCCCACCCTATGAACGGGTATTTGTGGCAGTGCGGCGTGGGTAATGCTGCTCGCCTCCGCGACTTTGGTTCACAGGGGCTCACTACTGGGTAACGATAAATGAGCAACATTTCCGGCATCTTCTATGGCGAAGAACGAAAGTTCAGTGCCTGCCGTTATTAAAAAATTAAAAATATTACTACAAATGCGTTGTTAATAGATTGAACGTCAAGGAGGCAATCAGAAATTTTAATGTTACACATGTTTTTTATATGATGAATGAAACTCTTTCATATATATTTATGAATGCATTTATATTCGGTACTGATGTTCAGGCTAAGATACATCATCGCATAATATTTTTTGACAAAAAAATGTCCTGCGCTAAGTACAAAAAATAAAAAAAGCGTGAAATTATCCCGGTTCATTTTTGTAAATGTATTTTAGCGGTTTCTTTAATATCTATAACATTCAGTTACAAGTGCGAAATTGAAAACCTCTCTATTTACAATAATAGGAGATATATTGAGTTTTTAAATGATTTAGGCCAAAATAATTCGCTTTTTAGAATACTCGTCTTCCAGAAACCGTCTTCCAGTTTCCGATCCCCACTGTCGACCCAAAATACTTGCAATGTGCAAATAGATTTAAGCTCAATGGACTAAGCCAGCGTTTCTCAACCTTTCAGTATTCGCGGCCCAGTTTTCAATCATAATTTTCATAGCACCCCCCACTTACAGTAAAACGTATACAACAATAATGTATATTGAGTATTTTGAATTCTGTCTTTAAATTAGTTTTAACTAACTGCCAAAACAAAAGTAAAGTAAAAGCCAGCAGCAATTGAGATTGTAGAAACTATGTTTGGAGTTAAGTTTTCAAAACAATTGCAGTCCATACCTCTTTCAAATGATACTGTTGCTCGTCGAATTGGTGATACGACAGCTGAAAATGTAGTGTCAGCTTTCCTCGATGTTACGTGACAAAATGTTTTCAATACAGTTTGATGAAGCAACAGATATTAATAAAGATGCTCATTTAATTGCCTATGTTTGATTTTGCGAAAATATGTTAGTAGTAGAACTACTTTTCTACAAATCAATAGAACTCAACACAACAGCGCTAGCATTATTTGCTGTTTTAAATGGTGTTATGAATGAGGCAAACATGGAGTGCAAAAATTGCATCGGAATATGCACCGATGGTGCTTGTTCAATATCCGGAAGGTTCGAAAGTATGCAAGCACTTGTAAAAAAAATCGCCTCAATGCGTCTGGACACATTGCATGATCCACAGAGAAGCTTTGGCTTCAAAAGAAATGCGTCCTGGTTTAAATATTGTGTTAACTACGGTTGTAACCGTTGCAAATTATATAAAATTCAGAACCATGAGATCGAGAATCTTTTCCGCTATTTGTAATGACATGGGTTCAGTACATTCAGAGTTACTATTTAAATGCGAGGCAAGATGTTTATCACGTGAGAAATTTTCGCAACGTGTTTATGAATTAAGAGAAGAAATCGCCATTTTCCTAGAAGAAGATAACAGACCGGAAACCGAGAATTTTCACTATTGTTTATTTGCGATTAATTTGAGCTACTTGGTCGTCATATTCGAGAAATTAAATAACTTGAATCTTCAACTCCAAGGAGCAAATACACACATGTTCGATACGAGTAATAAAGTTAATGCTTTTTGTAGAAAACTGGAATTGGGGGGCAGAAATTTAAAGCAAAAAATCTTAACAATGTTTGCAAATGTGGATAATTGAACTAAAACTTATAAGGTTGAAGAAGAACATGCAAAAGTTTTTTTTGTAATCATTGAAAATCATTTAGCCATGCTGGCAAGGAATTTTAAAAAGTATTTTCCTGCTGACGACAAACTGATAGCAAGTTACGAGTGGGTTAGGAATCCATTTCATAAGACTCTCGAAGGACTCTCAATTGATGTGGAAGAAAAATTCATAGACTTCACGACAAGTGGCGAAAAAAAAATAATATTTAGTAATAAATCACTATTTCAATTTTGGGCAGGAGTATGATTCTTCTGCACTAAAAACAAGGGCATTTCGCATTCTATCGCCATTTTCAACATCCTACCTTAGTTAAACTGGATTTTCTGCTGTGGCTTCTCTGAAGGCAAAATATAGATAATGGCTAAATATAGAAACAGAACTGAGAGTGGCTATTTCTAATACTAAGCCTCACCTCAAACATTTTTGCTCTGCAAGACAGGTCCAAGGAAGTCAATAAAAATTATTAATTTTTTAATTAAATTTAGTATGTTTTGTTTAAGTAAGGTGGCCAGTGCTCCTAACGTAGCCCCCCCCCCAAAGTAAAATTTAATTTATTTTGAATCATAAGATGTCCCTGCTGCATTGTAAATCTTGTATCTGAGGTGCACGAGGCTGAAATGGAAGATATTTCCTTGAATGGCCTCCATTGTATGAAGTGATTTAATTTTTTGCAGTTGTCGTTCTAATTTCCGGGTGAGAAGATATTGTAATTTATATGTGTTTAAATTCTTAGAACTTTGAGTTAGGATATGTTTTCTGAAAGTTTATTTCTTTTTCTTTAACCACATTACTTTATTTCGAATTAATCTATCAGATTAATAGTTTTAAGTACTACAAATGGTGAAAAAGACCATATGCATGTTCCCAAGGTGGCTGACACCGGTGCCACCTTGGGGACATTTGGGCCACCTTCGGAAACAAACGTGAAATCTATATAAGAGTTAATTATAAATCATTACGCAGCATATTATTTCTCAAAAAGGAATGATTGAATTGAATGCCAATTGATTTATTTCATTTTAAGCAAA